TGTGTGATGGCTGGGGAATTCTGGGAGATGAATTCTGCATGCAATGACTGGGGAATTCTGGGAGCTGAAGTCTACATGTGATTGGTGGGGAATTCTGGAGTTGAAGTCTGCATGTGATGATTGAGGAATTCTGGGAGTTGAAGTCCACCTAGCTTAAAGTGGCTCGGATTCAGACACCCTGCAACAGTACATGAGATTCTGTGCTGCTTATTATATTCCATGTTAACTTTCACAGGTTCCCTCTTCCCTGGGGGATAACAAGACCCTTCTTAAAACTGGACTTCATTTTGTTTTAACTATATTTCGGAAAAGCAAGCAATAGCTCCCTCCCCCCTGCTTCCCCCCCCGCCCCGAGAACAAGAATATAAATTCTGAAAGGCAACCCAGTTATCTTGGATCTTCTATGGATAACTAGGGGTTACGGTAGTCCGGGTGGTACCTTGACAAAGGGGCGGATGCTTTTGGGGGGGGTGCAAAACACAACCCCTAACCGTAATCATCACCCCCTTGCCCGATTTGGGAGCACCACTGATTTGGGATGATGGAGAGGCCCAGCTTTTGAGATGGAAGAGACGGCGCAGGATTTTTTTTACGAGCACTGAATATCCAACGGAGGCCTTTTATGATTGGTTTCTGTACCAAGTTGGGGGTATACCGCTCTACGCTGTCTTTGGCTCAGCCTGGTTTATAGGCCCCTGGGGCGCTGTAGACAATGCGGGTGATAAAAAGGGGTGGGAGGAAGAGAAAAAATCCTAATGCCACTCGCTCCGAACCGCTACCGTGGCGAGATTCTGTTATTTTTTATTTTGATGAACGGAAGTGCTAGATTTTGGGGGGAGGGGGGGGAAGACATTTAAACTGCATAGTGCGGAGACAGCATGATATATACCGGTTCCCCGTACACCAGCTGTCCCTCCCTGCTTTCTCTGCATGCGCTCGTATGCAAATAATAGCAAAACACCGCTAAAAATTCAAGGCGTTATTACCTTAAGACTGAACTGCAAAGCTCTAACAAAAAACACCCCTCAGGGTCACGATGCAGAGCTTCAGAAAACTCTGGATCACAGCAAGAGTCTAAAACAGGGGTCTCCAATCTTGGCCACTTTAAGCTTGGCGGACTTCAACTCCCAGAATTCCCCAGCCAGCTTTGCTGACTGGGGAATTCTGGGAGTTGAAGTCTGCCAGGCTTAAAGTGGCCAAGATTGGAGGCCCCTGGTCTAAAAGGAGAATGATTAAAACAAAAACCAAAAAAAACATCAAACGGATTAGACGTTGGACTGAACTCCAGGTCAAAGAGAAACCTTCTGCGAGGTTCCTAAAATAATAAGCGGTTGTTTTTTTATCCCTCCATGCTCAATGTTGCGTTTTGCAGAAAAGGTGAAGATGTCTTTGCGGGCTCTTGCAGAGGGGCCTACAGAGGACCACATGTGAAATGTGAGAAGATGGGGTGCAGAATATATCACCACAAGCAAGGAAAATGAAATACCACATTGTTGACAAGAGTGTTAATCGGCCTCCCCTTCCCGGCGCCCACCCATTTTGGGAGGCTCTGACCAGGGCTAAGGTTCAAAATTTTTAGCAAAGGGTTCTCTGCCTGGTTGCTGGGTGGGCGTGACCTTGTCGGCCTCCTGCACCACGGCGGGGAGGGGGGGTGCACTTTTGCCCTTCCCAAGCTCCGGAGGCTTTCCTCAAGCCTCTGGGAGGGTGATAACAGCCACCCCAGGCTCCGGAGGCTTTCTGGAAGCCAAAACCAGGCCCATTTCTGGCCTTCTCAAACTCTCAGGAGGCTCATTTTTTGCCCTCCATGAGCCTCCGTGTGCACCCTGTACTTACCTGCATCCAAAACACGACATATGGGGAATCCTGGGAGGGGAGGTTTGGGTGGGGCCAGCTAGAATTGGGGTTTGGGGGTTCTCCGAATTGTGCAGACTCTTAGCTAGGGTCTCTCCCGAATCCCTGCAAACCTCCAGCAGCGCCACCCCTGACAAGGACCCTCTCTTGCTTCTAGAATGTTAACTTTGTCTTTCATAATCGGAGTCTTCCTGCCTTGGTTAGGATTTGTTTTGAGTTTTTAAATAAGGCTTCTCTCTTTATTACAAATTTTCTTCTGCCGGAGAACAAGGATGACTGTAGAAAAGAGCCAATGCTTGTTTATTTTCAACAAACAAAAGGTATAATAATCCAGTGCCTTATTCTTCATTCATTGACTCTTAAGTTAAAAAGTAAAAATATAGAGAGACAGCATCTGTCCAAACATGAAAGAAATAATGTTTGTCAGGGTAGATATTGGCCAAATGAGCCACAGGGAAAAAATAGTATTTTAGCTTAGAAAGAATGGCAGACAAAGAGCAGCTAATGTAGCTGGAAAGGAGAGATTCACAGGCACCCCAATATCACTTCTGCCCCCCTCAATTTTTCCAAACGGGTCCCCCCAAAAGTCAGGATAATAATTCCCCTAAATATACACAAAAACAACCAGTTACTGTACACTGAGGATATTGTTGCCAGTCTATAATCAATACAGGAAAAAAAAAGTTGGATCTTGAAAAAGTTCATTTCATCCTATGGAAAGGGAAAAAACAAAAAAGGTTAACACAGCTGGTAGTTGTTGCGAAGGATATTTTAACTCAGTGTTTTTCAAAATTTGACAACTTTAGGATGTTGTGTGGACTTCAACTGCCAGAATTCCCCAGTCAGTGTGGAATTCTGGGAGTCGAAGTGCACCCATCTTAAAGTTGCCAAGTTTGAAAAATCTGATTTAGAGGGATCCTAAAGGTTTAATGAACAGTCCCTGGCTTGATATTCTCCAGATACAAAAGTATTACCTCGCACCCAAATCCTCCAGTTCAGTGTTTCTCAACCTTGGCCACCGTAAAATGTGCAGACTTCAATGTCCAGAATTCCACACTGGCTGAGGAATTCTGACAGTTGAAGTCCACATGTCTTAATGTTGCCAAGATTGAAAAACACTGCTCCAGTTAGTGCCAACTGGTAAAAGATACCCAAACAAGCTCCATGAGGAAATCCTAACTATCTCCAGCAACAGCACCTCACTGCTCCAACTTCTACAGTGGTGCTTAAAAATAGATGAATCCTTTCGAACGTTCCAATATTCCTGCATAAACATGACCTAAAATGAGATCTGTTCTCTACATGTCCTAAAACAAGATGTTCTGACCCAGGAACCAAGAAACAGACTCCTTGTCCCGAAAAATCCTTCTTTATTTAGTTACTGTGAATTCATGGCATTCACACACAGAAAAGTCCCGGCAATAATCCTTCCACGGATTAATTGCAAGAACAGATCTCATGAGTCCTTGGATAGTTACCAGGCCGAGAGCTTCCAGTCGCAAAGCTGTAAATTAAGAAGTCTCTGTGAGGCACGAACCACGATAAGTAAATCTTCCAAGTGAAATAAGAACTATTGTCTCCTGCAACCACCACTCCCCTTTTGCTTTATTTATTCCCCAGGAAGGGCCCATTCAGCGTCCACGTGTGCCTTTCTTCCCAAGTCAGCCCGTTCCTTTGTTGTTCTCCTCTCCTAACAGCTCTGCACATACACGCATCTGGAACAGGCCCCAGCTGTTCTTCTTCCCCACTTATCTCTGACTCCGAAGGCAGCTGGGAAACGTCGGATGGTCCTGGCCCTATCTCTGCTTCCAACATAGAGCATCCATCAGAGCCTTCCCCAGACTCCAGGACTGGCCCGAATTCCTCCCCAACCTCCTCATTGTCCAAGTCTGGCAGTTGGCAGACCACAACACAAGATACAGACAACCCAATTAAACACCCCCCCCACACACAACATTATATTTATTCATTGATTTGTTGCGGGAAATGATCTCCTAGGCTAATTTTAGGACGTGTAGAGAAAGGGTCGTGTTTGAGGCCATGTTTATGGTGGAATATTGAATGTTCAAAAGGATTTGCCAACTTTTAAGCAGAATGTCAGGTGATTTTTTTTTTTTTTTGCTGACCTTCCTATCTCTCTCAGCATTCTAAAGGAGAGCCAAACAATTTCATATTTTTAATAACAGTCTTTCTTTAATATCTTCCCACTGCTCTTTACATCTGTTTTGCCTAAAACTGTACTGAAAATCTGTTCAAGGAGATTTTGAGAGAATGGCTTCCCGAGCCTTTAAAAAAACAACTACGACGATATAAATAAATTTGCAAGATAAGTCCTCTCCTCTTTTAAGCTGCCTGAACTATAAAGTCAGATCGACCTCAGGCAATGCCATGGGGGAAGCATTTTTAAACCCTCCATAGATATCTGAATGATCAGATTCCCCTCCAGACACCAACATATCAAGGAAAAATGTCTGCCCATTTCCCCCCAAACGACATATTTTGTGAGTTGGTTTATACAAATAGTCCTTGGGTTATGACTGTAGTAGAGCCTGCCTATCATGGTCACAAGTTGTGACCATTGTGAAACAGGTTGCCTATGTGAGTAACCTGATTTTTTTGCTGGGGATCATTAAAGTGACCACCATGGTCGTAAAGCAAGTGTCACCAAATCTGGCAATTTTAAGACTTGTGGACTTCAACGCTCAGGATATGCAGGCTGAGGAATTCTGGAAGTTGAAGTCCACAAGTTTTAAAGTTGCCAAGTTTGGAGACCTCTGCCATAAAGCGATGCCTGCGGCTGTTAAAAAAAATATGATTTTTTTAGGCGCCAATTTTACCAAAACAGAAGTAAATGCCAAGTTTTGGCAAAATCATTGTAAAATAGTTACGTGACCATGTGACACTGCCAATGGTTATACATGCCAGCTGGCCGGCCAAGTGCTCAACATGAAGTCATGTGATGGTGGGGCAGCCATTGAAACCTCAGAACTAGGTTTTAAGAACCCCCAGGGAAGTTCATTGTGATTTCAAATGGTCATAAGATGAGGACTAGCTGTACTCTTTTATGGAAATAATTATGAAGAATTATCAAGAATGAAATCACGGGGCTTCCGGTTTGAAGGGCTTCGGCGACAGACAGAAATCCGCGATCGTGCACGGTTTCTGTCTGGGCTCGCCGCTGGAACGCCCCGAGCCGGCTGGTTTCGGGGCTAAGCCAACCCGTAGAGGTGGTGAAGAGGGGGGAGACCGCCAGCAGGGTTGAGGAGAGCCGCATCTCTCCTCCTCAGCTGGCCATTACTCCCTTTCCCAAAGGCGGTTGCAGCGGTGGTCAGAAATGGCCACCACAAAGGAGAACTCGACCGGAAAACAATGTGCAGGAGGAAGATAAGAAGTGAAAGTTTTGGCTGACCGGGTTAAATTGTAAAAGCAACAACTAAGGTACCCTGGAATTTAAACCTACAAAAAATAACATCGCTCCCAAAGAAGAGTCAGAAGCAGCGAAGGAAAGTGAAAAGGGAAAGGTTTGGCTTTTTTTCTCTTCTCTCTCCTTCCCTATACTGACAACTAAGAGACTTAAATCAGAAATCAGAAAAATCCACTTTGACATCAATAGGCAATTAAGCTGAAAATAAAATGCCAAAGGGATAATAAAGATTTCTGGACATTAAAATTTTTCTTTTTCATAAGCAGGAAGGGAGAGAAAAAGAATAATCTGGAAGAGGGAGGAGACTGCTTGGAATTAAAAAGAATCTACAGTAAAACTTCAACCAGACTTCTAAAAGATACATTTTAACTGAAACTTTGCAACTAAATAGTAACCCCAGGAAGAGAAAGTGAAAAAAAAGAGGAAAAAAGAAACAGCTTGCGTGTATTTGGATTATTTGGTGATTTTTGGATTCTTGGTTATTATATCTGAATGACTGAAATCAATCGGGTGGTTGTTTAAACATTTATACAATGGCACCACTTCTGGATGAATTGAAAATGGAACTTAAAAAGTACAAAGAAGATGCACAAGAAGGAAAGGGTTCTTTTGGCTTAATTTTTCAATTCTTAGAAATGGAGATTTGTAACTATGAGAAACAACAAGAAACCACTGCAAAACAAGAAGACTGGGACAAAGAAGAATCCATCTTTAATGAACAAGCAATTTTATGTGGGGAAGAAAAAGGAAAGGGGGGAAAGAGAATGAAGAATTTAAGACTTACAAAAACAACCAAAGAAAAGAAAAATAATTCAAAAAATAAGTATAATACTGGAAAGCAACAGAAGAGGGGAATACAGAAGAGAGAAATAGAGGTAGTGAGACAAGGGGGTAAAAAGGGGAGAGAGAAGAAGAGAGGGAAGAAGGAAAGGAAAAGAAGTTACAAAGGACTGGAGCAAGATATAGAGAGACAGGACCTATTTAGAGATAATGGGTGAAAAATCTAACTGAAAAAGGGATTCTGTAAAGGTACATAAGATTGTATTGTTATATTAGTAATAGAAATAACTTTAGAAAATTGGAAACAACGTATGATTAAAGTGAGGGATAAAATAGTGTAATTTAGTGAAATGTTTGTGAATAAAATAAGTGAAATAAAATAAATGAGAAAATTGAATTAGGAAGGAATGGGAACATTTTAATTAGTTAATGTTTTATAAAATATAAGTGAAAGGGGGGAATTAACTATGGAAAGCTTATAATTGAAAAGTAATGTTAAAGATGTTAAGACTTTAATGAATATTAATATTGATAGAATTGAATTGGAATGGAATGTTGTTTTAATTATATACATTTATATTTTTTCTTTTTTTAAGAATACAGTGAGTATTTTAAGAATGTACCAAACAGAATCCGAATGGAAATTATGTATTATATTGAATGTTACAACTTTAGGGAAAAGATATAAAGGCGTCATGCTCCAATCAGTAACTACAGGAGAAATTTTGTTTAATGAGAAAAGATAATAGATAATTGAAACAGGACAGACAAAAAATATAAATACAATGATTTGAATTGAGATGAGATAATTAAAATAAAATTGAGAAAATTAAAAGAGGGGAGAAGCTATGCAGACAATGTAAAATAGTAATAAGATATGGAATAGAATATAAAAATGAGCATGAACCTGAATTTGTGTCTGTACGAAGAAATGTAACCCGGGATTACGCTACTTTCAAAAAAGATGTTTTATTTGTATTTTTTTTCTCTTTGTGAAAACTCAAATAAAATTTATATATATAAAAAAAGAGAATGAAATCACAGATAAACACTCCAAGCGGCCTCAATGACCCTCTAAAAGGATGCAATTGGCCAGCTGTCTGCAAGGAATATAAATCAGGGGTGTCAAATTTGATTTCATTGAGGGCCGCACCAGGATTGTGTTTGACCTCTGAGGCCGGGGAGAGCATGGCCAGGCTGGGCTTGTCACTCATGTCAGGGGCACCTGTGGCGGTCCGAGTGCTCTGAGAGGGAAAATGGAGCTTGGGTGGGTCATGCGTGCCTCCTCCCCAGACCCTGTTTCCGGCCGCAATGGCCGCTCTGTTTTTGTTGGCAGAGGCATCCCGGGCTGGTCCTTCGCTATTTGCCTGTGGGGCAAATCTAAGCACCCCACGGGCTGGATCTGGCCCCTAGGCCTTGAGTTGGACACCCCTGTTATAAATCCTTCCATCCCCTACTATCCTGTCAGAGCTGAAGAAGCTTCTTGGATGAGAAGAGAAACGTCTTCAAAAGGAAGAAAAACAAGAAAGTCCATGGAAAAACCATGACCTGAGGATGACTGAGAATCTCTGTAGACTTTGATCAAGGATGAAGAGATCTTCCCAGGATTTAAAAAGAAATAGATCGCGCTATACAAGTTTACTAACCGGTGTATCTGCTTCACATCACCAGAGGCTGGGTGTCTCCCCCAACAGAAGGCACAGAGTCGAGGCTCCCTTTGTAAATGGGGGTGCGCTGGCCAGATTCCTCCCTAAAAAGAAAGACCAACATTTAACAGGTTGTCCCCACTGATGCATAAATACACAAACTGAGAAAGATATGGCCTAGGCTGGTCTCAGGAACGAGGCAAACTAGGTTACCGGTCACTCCATGTTTGTTTATTGCATTCTCACTTAGTCCACAAATCTCCATTAAACTCAGGCGCAAAAAAGAATTCCAAATCCCCACCTGGGACCAGATCAGGCACGTCCCTGACCACCGCAGCCCCCAAATAATCCCACCGGACACTCACAAAGCCATTTTCTTCAGGGCAGCTGCCCGGTGACGGGGAATAAGGAAAGCGAAGACCAAAATCAACAGCAGCAGCAGCACAGCTGGTAGGGCCACCGCCAGGGCCAGCATTGGGGTGCTGAGGGACAGCACAGACTCTGGAGAAGACAAAGGGTCAACATCAAAATGGGAAGTAGCCTCAGTGCCCTCCACCCACCGGCCTCCATCAGAGGGCAGAGAAAGGTGGTGGTCAGCCCTGCCCTTAGGATCACCCCCAGGGAGACAGGAGCTAAGATGTTATTAAAAGAGGAATGGCACCAGCAAGCCTTCAAATTAGGCAAGGCTGGTTCCACAGGGTGGTTTTCCTGAGGTTTTTTTCCCCCCATAAAAGACGTGCCAGGTTACACGGAGTGTAATCCTAGTAGGTTTGAGGGTGGAGGTTCGTTCTCTGAGGTTGTGGGTTGGTTTTCGAACGTTTCATTACCAGCCGAGGTAACATCTTCAGCGGAGATTTAGGGGATGTCATGAACTATGTTTTACAAACCTCCATGGTTGTGTCCACTCAGCAAGCTAGTCTTAGCTGAGTACATTTTGGCTGACTTTTTCCACAAAAGAGTCACCTAAGATCTCAATCCCACAGAAAGGTGTCTGCAAGTAACTCCTACTAAACAGTAGGATTTAATTTCTAGGTCATCGTATCCTGCAGGGTGGACTGTAAATATTGTTGTCTGTGGGAGCAGGAAAAGAGAAATGGGCTTGATTGGGCCCAGGAGTCCCTGCTCAGATGTTCCCGCTTAAAGATGATGGATCTCAACAAGGGCCTCCAACACCTGATGGGCTCTTTTCCTGAAAGTTCTCCCAACAAATACGGAAGATACCAAGTGGCCAGACTTCATAATGGACATCCAAATTCAGGGCTTCTCACCAAAACTGAAGCTGCGTTTGGGGCTCTCCACGAGCAAGCGGATTGATTTGCTCTTGGTCAACTGTGGCAAAGTTGGGTGGTGGGCTTGGCAAGTATAGGTCCCGGCTTGCTCCTGGGTTACCTTGTAGATAGTTAAGGAACCTGAGGGCAGGATCCAGTCATCGCCCTATTTATAGGAGAAAAAAAGAAAAGAACCATTAACAGAAAGCTTTTGATCAACCTAATGAAGCTATGAAACTCGGCTAACTTTCTGACACCTGCAAAGATGATTTGGGAAAGTTGTCTGTGGAGATTGTCAATCATCCAGGTCATGGTTGTCTCAAGGGTGCTTTTGAAAAAAGGCACCTGGATTTTCTAGGTTTTTTTTTCCCCCCGTTGAAAACGCTTTGCCTTTTCATCCAAGAAGCTTCTTCAGTTTTGGCTGGATGGTGGAGAAAGAGAGCTAACGACCGACATGCAAAGAATATAAATCCTTCATCCCCCGACATTTAGCCAGAACTGAAGAAGCCTCTTGGATGAGAAGCAAAAGGTTTTCAAGAAAAACAACAACAAGAAAAGTCCAGTTGCCTCTTGAAAAACTACGTGTGGGATGATTTGGGAAACCTTGACCACACAAAAACAACCTGGAGGGAAAGAACTATGCTTAAGAACCTTCTCCTCTACAACTTTTGGCTACTCTCCAAAGCACCAGAAGGCAGGACAAGAAGCAACGGATGAAAACCGATCAAGGAAAGAACCAACCTAGAAACGAGCAGAAATTTCCTGACCGCGGGAACCATAAACCAGGGGAACGACTTGCCTCTAGAAGTTCTAAACGCTCCAACACTGGAGGTTTTTCAAAAGAGAGCGGATAATCGTGGGTCCTAAACGGTTTACGTTATCCTGCTTGAGTGGAGGGTTGGACTAGATGACCTCCACGGCTCCTTCCAACACTGTTATTCGGTTCCATTCTGAAGCCTTGTTCCCACTCCCTTACCTCTCGAATCCACTCGTAGTGCGGTGTCTGGGACGCATCCGCTGAACACTGAAGCTGCAGGTTGTCGTCTTCAAGGACTGATATGGAGTCCCCTACGGTACCACACCAGGAGTTGGAATTGCTGACAAAGACCTTGTGCAGATCTGAGGAAGGGAAGAAGACATGGAAAGTCAGATCTCTTCCTTCCCCATCATCCCTGCCCCTTCTCAATTCGGAATGCCAGCCTGGTAGGGGGTTCAGGGACTCCGTTGCTGGGGCTCCGAAGCGATTTTCCATCTATCCCACCCACGCCTACATATATCATTCTGTAAAGAACCAGCATGGCTCCACGTCGGTTGCTTCTGCTTCTAAATCTGTCCTGTTGATGGAGCCGTGCTGGTTGAGAATAAACCGTGCCTGCGAGAATATTTTTTCCCCTCTCTGCTCATAAAAGTACTTTTTATTGGAGATTATTCAAATCTCTCTCTTTCCATTCTCGGTCTTCTTCAGATAAACACTCCACTGCAGATCCCAAAGATAGGCAGACTGTGAACTGCAGGAGTGTAGTCTATGTCAGGGGTCACCAACTGGCTGGGGAATTCTGGGAGTTGAAGTCCACCAGGCTGAAAGTTGCCAAGATTGGAGACCCCTGATCTAAAAGGAAAGAGTAACGCAATCTCCTAGTCCTTATCTCCTGTTTATCTACTGCCCTCTGGTGGCTAGAAGGACAGCAGCCCCCAAGGCCAACGCAATCCTAACTTGCATTAACAGTGGGATACAATCGAGATCAAGGGAGGTGCTAATACCACTCTATAAGGCCTTAGTAAGGTCACACCTAGAGTACTGCATCCAGTTTTGGTCACCACCCTATAAAAAGATGTTGAGACTCTAGAAAAAGTTCAGAGAAGAGCAACCAGGATGATTAGGGGACTGGAGGCTAAAACATATCATGAACGGTTGCAGGAACTGGGCTTGGCTAGTCTAGTAAAGAGAAGGACCAGGGGAGACATGATAGGGGTCTTCCAATATGTGAGGGGCTGCCACAGGGAGGAGGAAGGGGTCAAGCTATTTCCCAAAGCACGCAAAGGCCAGACAAGGAATAATGGATGGAAAGTGATCAAGGAGAGATTCACCTTGAAAATAAGGGGAAACTTTCTGACAGTGAGAACAATCAACCCATGAAATAGAAGTTGCCCTCGGAAGTTGTGGGAGCGCCACCACTGGAGGCTTTCAAGAAGAGATTGGACTCCCGTCTGTCAGAAATGGTGTAGGGTCTCCTGCTTGGGTGGGGGGTTGGACTAGATGACCTACAAGGTCCCTTCCAACTCTGATTATCTGTTATCTGTTAAGGGGAATCCAAACCCCCACATACACTCCATCTGCAAGTCCAGTTCATCCGAGATGGTGTTGTTGTTGGTGGCATTCAGGCTGGTACAGCGGTAGGGTCCAGCGTGCCAAGACTGGATGTTGCTGATGGTCAGCAGGAGGCGCCCATTGTCATCATTCACAGTGACGTCATAAAACCAGCAACGCAAGTCGTGAGATTCATCCAAAGAGATCCAAGAACGGAGCCACTGGAGATGTGAGAAAGAACAATGTTGATAGTGAGCCTTAAATTGGCCAAAGCTCACTGTTTGTGGCTGGGGGATTCTGGGAGTTGAAATCCACAAGGATTAAAGTTTCCAAGATTGGACACCCTGATTTAAAGCTAAATCTTATTGGTATCATATTTTGATTGTTATTGCTCTGTTGCTTTGCATGTACATTGAGAGCTTCTGCATTGGAGACAAATTCCCTGTGTGTCTAATCACACTTGACCAAATAAAGTACACAATGCTATGCTATACTATACTGTACTGTACTGTTCCGTTTGATATTCTATTCTATTCTATTCTATTCTATTCTATTCTATTCTATTCTA